TAGAAAAAGTTTGTAATTTATGATACCGCTATGCATTTGAGAATCGTACCTTTTGTTTTTAATTCCCCTGATGCCAACGCCCCTTGTGTATTGTCGTGGGGTTTAGTGAAGAACGCAAGGGTATCAGGAAATACAGGCCTTTGATTGCATCACCAAACATTCTCGTCCTTGGGCTTTGAATTTATTCTATACTGTTGCCTGGTCACTAATTATGATCCCAATTATTAGTACAAATGGACGCCGAGGGATTGAGTGTTTGGACCAATATTTTACTCTTTTTCCTTATATTATTATTATTTAGATTCCGTTTGCATGAGAAGATTTGTTGAAAAGCTGACGTCTGCCGCAAGAGTTGGAACAGTTATCTTTTTATAATTTCTATGGGCTTTATGTTTTGCAGAAGCTTTTTTTTTTTCATTATTTTCCTTTATCAATGCTCTTGAAGTAGTTTTGTTCTGCCTTTTATGAAGTTTCATGAGCATTGCTACACTGGAAATACGGTAAGAATAAAGGTTTGAGCTCAAGCTGATGCCAGTACTTTATGAATTTCCTGCAGTTAGGGAAGTCATACCATTTGTTGAGAGGCTGCAAAATTATACAATTCCTGTTTGAGAGGCTGGAAAATTATACAATTCCTGTTGTTCACATATTGATACCATCTAGGTTGTATTTTTATTGGTAAAAAACAATTGATTTTGGTGATTTGCCTTTGCTGCTTATGTTGCTACAAACTGAGTGCTTGATGAGGGTGTCTGGTAAACTAGTTGATCATCATGATTTACTTTTGCTGCTTGTGTTACTACAAAATGAGTTCTAGATTAGGGTGTCAAGAACATGAATTCAAATAATTCATTTATATATACATGCTTTGAGATAACCAGACATTTCTAGTTATGCTTCTAATTAGTCTTAGTTAATGAATTGAATAGTATATGATGAAAAACTGCAAGTTAAATGATCTTAAATAACTGAATAGCTTGTAATCCTTGTACATTGTGCTTGTGGGTACACATGCATGCATCTACGTTTGTATTTTTAGTGGCAGGGTCCCATGCAATTGTTGTTGTTTAATTAAGTATAGTCAAATAGCCATAAGCTTTTTCACTAAAAAATGTTGTTTGTAGCAATACTTTTTTGCTGTTTCAAGAACTAGCTGTTTCACTTGAAATGTTATTTTTGTAGCATCACTTTTGGAATCTGGAGGTTTTCATGCTCCCTTGGATGAAGGTTTGCTTTTGAAGGTACGGATTATATATATATGCATTCTTAAATCTTTTGTGGTCCTGTATTGCAGTGTGATGTCCTATTCTTTTCAGAGATTTTGGCTTTCTTTCCATTTCAAATTTAAACTTTTTCCTTGGTTAAGACCTTGAATACTACAAGATCGAGTTATCTTGTCTATCATCTAGGATAGTTGTATCCATTTCTCTTATTAGATTAAATGTGCAGAACAAGTCCAAGGAGATTGAACCATATTTAAATGGACGTTCTATCTATCTTGTCGGTATGTTTTTCCTGTCCAAGCCCTCTATAATTTTATTATGCTCGCAAGCTAGAAAATTTATGTGGACATGAAATACAGGAATGATGGGCTCTGGAAAGACAACTGTGGGCAAGATCCTGGCCCAAGTACTCAGTTATTCTTTTTTCGACAGGTTTGTACTGTAATCACTTCAGTTGCATGCTTTATTGATAGTATATCCATGCTCCAATGAGGGATATAGGAAAGTGTGCTTATTAGAGATGGAGCTGGAGCTATGCAACGAAAATGTCATTAGTGATTGTGCATAGTGTACTATAAAAGAATGACTTTAGGAAATGCACTTGAAGGGTAACAATGAATCTTCGTACATGCAGATTAAAATGCTTGTAACTTTTCTTGTTTGCTAAAAGAACTGGAAAGTGCACCATTTCATCTGTAGTGTGAAGAATTTATGGTTTAAAATTTGAGTAAGTGGAAGTGGCTCTTTTAGTATTTTCAAAATATGAACTACATTTAGTAAATCTTTTATGGTCAGCGCAGTGATGCATTAATTGAGAAGACTATGGATGGAACATCTGTAGCTGAAATCTTCACGCTTTATGGGGAGAGCTTTTTCAGGGATAAGGAGGTTAGACTAGAAACTACTTTTCATGCTGCGTATAATTCAAATTAGCAGTACATATTGACGTGATAATACTTGTCAGAATTTCGGCAATTTAGTACCATGTGGCATGCAACAGTTTTCTGTTTATCTCTTTTAATAAAAATGTAAGTGTGGATACATTACTTTTTCTGTTCCAAAGTAGTATAGCGTTATCATGACATTGCCACATGGCATTGTGAAATTGCATGAATATCAAAAGGAGTTCTAGATGATCAATGAAACCAACCCCCTGCTATAATATCCTTAATCACCATTAAACATTATTGGTTCTACATGCTGTCAATGGTTTCCCTAAAGAGATGTGCTTGACACTTGGTTCTATCATTCTGCATGTTTTTGCGAGATTACTGTCATCATGTGTACACTTTGAACTTGAAGACTACTGATTTCTTTAACTTCATCTTTGTCAGTTCCCAATTTGTCTAAAGCAAGTGATTGAATTTCTACTGTGAAATTTGGCTTCGCAATATTTATGGTGTCGTATGGTGGTTAGCTTGTATATACTTATGTTCTGCAGATGTTGAAATGATGGACATAGTTTTCTGTTGCTTTGTAGACTATTCTACAATTGGTGGATGATGTTAAGATTATACTTGCCAATGAGGGTTTTAAGAATCTGTAGAGGAGCAGTCCACGAAGGTGAAATGGTATAATAGGAAAGTCTCAACTTGAAAGGTCTAGGTACTGGAGTGTTGACTTTTTTGGATAAAAGATGTACTTGAGTGTTGGTATTACATTTCAGAATCCCCTGTTTTAGAAATATGGTAGGCGTTATGGTCCCCAAAATAGGATCTGCTCATGGTTGTGCTGACCACAAATTCCAGTAAACTTGTAAAGAGTTTTCTGGGATTTCTTCCCTTTATTTCCAATGTTTAATAGATTGGGGGCTGATTAAGTTAGAACCCTTTGATCTCTTGGATATGGAGGTAAAGGTTCATGCTAACTACTTGATCTCTCGCGTTCAGAAAGAAACTCCACTTTTCTTGAAGACAAATTTTGCTTGCTGTTCATAGGAGCTGCAGATTTATGTTACAATAGAAGAGACAAGATAAAATCCTAGTCATTCCTCCCAAGGAATGACTAACTTCCAAACAGCCTAGGTAGTTTCCAATTTGTCTTGAATAACTTCTTCCTACATCTAATAAAAAAAATGCAAACAGTTGAATATAATCTGCCATGCAGAAAATTTCATCCGCAATTTTCTTCTTGTTTATGTGTAAATTACTGGTTTGCCCCATAACAGATGGCTAGCAAGTGCTGCTACTCTAACTGAGACCACCGATTGCAGTCCATTAGACATTCTGGTTTTTTCAGTCCTATAGTTATATTCTCTTGGTTAATCTGTTCCGTATGCAATTAATATTGTCCATTTTCCCTCTAGACTGAGGTATTGCGGAAGCTATCTTTAATAGACAGACATGTTATTTCCACTGGTGGAGGTGCAGTTACTCGGCCTATCAATTGGTATTTCTTATAGATATATCTTTTCTGAGTCTTTTGGTTTAGTCTTTCTGCATTTCTGTAGTAACAGATACTTGCCTTTTATATTTAATTAGGAAATATATGCAGAAGGGAATTACTCTTTGGTTAGATGTACCTTTAGAAGCATTGGCACGCAGAATTGCTGCAGTAGGAACTGATTCTCGCCCGCTTTTGCATCATGAATCAGGCGATGCATACACAAAGGTTACCTGTGCTCCTTAACACCCAATTGTTTGAATCGCATATTTTCGTAGGATTATCATGAAAGCTAAAATCAGTTCATGTGGTATTGTCTTGTCATTTGACCTCTTGAAGGCCTTCAAGCGTCTGTCTGCACTTTTTGAAGAGAGAGGTGAATCATATGCCCAAGCCAAGGCTAGGGTTTCGTTAGAAAGTAAGCATCCTTGAACTTAGTGTTAAATTTATATTGGAGTTTCCTCAAAAAGTATGCATTCTTACTCGCAAAAAAAAGTAGGCTTTTGTTCTAATGATTTTAATCATCTTTATGTCAATCTTGGATTTGGCAGGATTCATCTCCTCTCTGTTTTTTGTTTTATTTAAAAAAAATTCATTCCAACCTCAATTCTGATGCCGTTACTGTTGGTGATTTATGTAATCACTATTTGCTTTCAGTAGCTTTCTGAAGTATTTCCTCTGTACAGAAATTGCTTTCAGATTAGGTCATGGAGATGTATCCAAGCTTACACCAACTGTTATCGCAATTGAGGTCTCTCTCTTTCTCTCTCTCTCTCTTGCGCATGCACACACAAGAGAACATGAATGTCTCTGTACATACCAATTCATGCAGAAGCTGTCTTCACTTTACTCAGCTTGTGAAAAAGAGGCAAATAGTTTTAACTAGAGTTTATATCTCAATCAGGCACTTGAACAAATTGAAGGCTTGCTAGAGGAAGAAGGTGGCATGGCCATAGCAGGATTTTAGTAGCTTCCAAGCTTTACACGTTATTCTTATGAGTTTCGATGTGAATATTATTATGGCTATGCACATGCTTGGTTTCCAATTTTAGCCGTGGAACATGGCATGAGAGTGCAGGTTGGAGTCAAATTACTTAACTACCACATTGATTGTGTCCTTAAGATGCAGCGCATAGCTGTTGCTGGGCTTGGACGAAATAATATCGCGTATGATATCATTGTTTGTTAAAAGTTGACGTCGGGATTCAACCAATGTTAGATGTGGCGGGTTTTGGTTTAGGTACTCCTGCATAAATGTCTGCTTGAAGAAATTGTTTATGGATATTGTTGTGGCTTCAAATGTCAGTTTGCTGTGGATTGAAAACCGCTTCCTTGCAATGTTAAAAGGTGCCGTCTCCGTAAGTGTGATTTATGATTGATTGTTATTCTTATTTAATTCTTATTTTTATTCAATGTTGAAGAAACACCTCAATGGTAAAATTCACAAGGAGCTCGTAGGTTAGAAAACTAAATTGTCTCCATAATCTTTTGTTCTCCTGGGGTCTTTGGAACCTATGCAATTTATAGTATTTTAAGCTCAAAAAGTACTTGAATGATTTCGATTATTTTTCCTGATTTTTAGACTAAAATATTATTAGGTATTTAGTAAATTATGAGTTTTAAATCAAAATTTTAGTTGAATGAAAAAAGACTAATTCTTATTTAAAAAATTATTGGTTTTTTCTCATATTGCAAAAATTCAAAGGTACTATTTTATCACATGAGATTGTAATTTTCTAAATTAAAATTGATGAAGATATTTATTAAATTTACAACTATGAGGATTTCTGTATGGGTTTGAATTTAATATTTGAAAGAATGTATGGTAGGGTAAAATATGTTTAAAACTCAAAGTCCTAAAAGTTCTCTTTTTCTATTTAAAAAAGAAAAAAAAAAAAAAAAAAAATAGGAGAAATAATTATAAAGAGTTGTTAAATTTTAGTACATTCATAACATTAACAAATACTTTGTGACCTCTTTGATAGCAAAAACAAGAAAGAGTCAGAATCTTGTATCATTTTATTTACAAAAACAATGTAGGAAAGAAATTGCAAGAGATGGAAATTTGGATAAGATTACTTCACTACACTTTAAAATGCTTCTCCTTTCCATAACTAAAAAGCCCTGGGAAACAATATTCAAAATCTCATCCCTTACACCATATATATACCTACACAAAGAACTCCAGCAATTCCACATAGAAAATATACATTCTTGCCAAATAATCAAAACACGATTAGCTAACCTCAGAACCCATAGCTACAAGAGTGAAAAGAAAATACTCTGAGACACTCAAATAACTACCTATTTTTGTTTACTAACAATTATGGGATGATGTCAATGCATGCATCTCATCTGAAAGTGTTGTAACCTTGCAGCAGTCTCCTGAGCGATCGCAAGTTTAGTGATACTACCCAGGATTCCATCTTTTTATTGTTGACACATAAATTGCAAGACAGCAACAGACTCCAACTCAACCTATAGTATCACAGCAGTGTTAAAATTAACCTTTGTCAGCTATATAAGCAAGAAGTGTGCTCACGAAATGACTTAAGAAAGTAATGGAAGATGATTTCTGACATATGAAAGGATATTCTTGTCATATTTAACAAATCTCTGTTGGTAATAACACGCCAACAAACCCATTACATGTGATGTGATGAGAAATACTACTGTAGTAATCTATTTTAAAGATTGTAAATATAATCTTTTTTTTCTGAAATATCAAGATTTTGGATATAACAAATTATTAAGTAATGAATGACAAATTGATTTCTTTTATCACTTGTTGCAGATGTTTAAGTTTGTCAATGATAAATCTCCTTCAAACTGATGCCAATGTGATTATAATCATATCCTAATTATGAGACAGAAACTAATTCTAGTTGTACCAATGTCATAAAGATACAATTTGATCCAAGTAGACTATCATACACTATGCTACACATGAGGGAGTCTTCAATCCCATTAACTACTAGAGCAGTTAGATACTATATTAATTACGTAAATGTTTGTTACACAAATATTTTACTAAAAAGAATCTCGAATAAAGTTTAACTGTATCAATCGAGAAGTTAGATATGACACTTATTGAAAAAATTAATTATTTTATATCTGACATTTATGCAAAATATTAATCATGACAAACAAGTAAACTATTGCTTTGACTTGGTTCCACCACAGTTGACTCATGCTAAAAATGATAAACGAGATTAGACTTGCTTTCATGTGTCATAGTCAAAATAGTTAAGTATGACCCAGATTATATAGTTAATAATCCATCACCTAAAATAAAAAGGAGATGATATACTATATTGTCTTTCATAGATAATCCAGAAATCTCAAAAAATGGTAACTTAGGATTTGAGCAAACAGTATCCTAAACCACCAAGGAATTAATTTGTAGAAACATATCTACAAAGTCATTTATGAATAGGACTTGACATTGTTTTTGCTTTTGCTCATTCCAGAATACAACAAATGAAACAAATGTATTTGCGTGGTAACATTTATGAAAATGTTATTTACATTGAGATTAGATTTTATTGTTACCTAGAGCTGTGATATTTTATTAGATGTTACCTATGGTTATATATTCAACCTAATTGATTAATGTAATTAATAAATTATGCGGAGAATTAAAAGCTTCATCTAATCTAGTTATAGTTGAAGTGTCTAATTATAATATAAGAAATATGATTGGTTTAAAATCTACTACTAAATATTCAACTTAATATATCACACACTTAAAATAACCTAAGCTTTATGTTTATGGAAAAATGTTGAATCTTTGTTTAATCTCGATTTGATCTTGATTGAATCTTTATGTCTTGATGTAACACTGAAAATAATTTAAGAAGATTTGATAATCGTTAGATTAAAAACTTAACTAAGAGTTAATTAAATATATGGATCATATGAAAGATTATGATTAACTATATGGGAAAATTAAATTAGCACCAAAGGGAAGTCCCTAGTATTTTATAGGTAGATAAGCCACTCTACAGCCAAAATCTTTAAAAGAAGACCTGCATTCTCAATTCTCCAATCGGCACAATTTCAGTCTTGGTCAAATTGATCATGAGACCAGATAACATTTGAAAACAAAGAACACTTCTTATTCTTGACATTGTTTGTGGATCTAGTTCACAAAATAAGAGAGTATCGTCCGCAGAACAATTTAGTCAGCTCCACTTCTTCATCTTCCCTAACTTTTAGATCTCCAAAGAATTGATTTTCTCTGGCTTTGTTGATCAATTTGTTTAGTGCCTTCACTAGAATTATGAAAAGTAGTCGGGAAAAAGGACCTCTCTGCCGGAGACCTCTGGATGCCTTGAAAAAATCCAGGGACCACCATTTATATAGCTGCAGAAAATATAGTGGCAGTGCAGCAAGTCTTTACCCATGACCACCACTAAGGACCAAACCCAATCTTTTTAGCATGTAGAAGAAGAAACACCATGAAACATGATCATACACCTGCAAATCAAGTTTGCAGAAAATCCCTTTCTTTCCTTTTCTTAGAGAACTGTGTAACACTTTATTTTCTATTAAAGCAGCATCCATGATTTGTCTTTCCTCAATAAAAGTGTCTTGCCACTCCCCAACTACCCTTCCAAGTCTTCTTGCAAGGACTTTTGCAATGAGTTTATAAATGCATCCACCAACCTTATGGATTTTGTCTTTTATGCTTGATGCCCCGACAAACTTTCAGATAAAAACTAAGGTGGAATTGGGTAGGATACTATCTAAATTTTTTCGAGTAAAACCCATATTAAAACCATACAGCCCCAGTGCTTTGTCTCCCTTGCATGACATAAGGGCTTTAAAACTTTCCTCCGTTAAAAGGCTTCTTGACCCACTCCATCTCCTCCCTCTCGAGAGTGTTGAACTCAAAACCATCCAAATTGGTCTTTGAACAATCTCTTCATAGTACAAATCTTCAAAAAAGAGTTTTCACTCTTCTCTCAACTCTTCATTCCCTTTGATGATTCAGTCATTTATCTCCAATTCCTCAACATAGTAAAATTTTCGGTAATGACTAGCTATATTGTGAAAAAATTTGGTGTTTCTGTCCCATTCTTTAAACCATATGGCTCTTGATTTCTATCTCCATGCTATCTCTTCCATCAAGAACAAAAGGACCACTTCCATCCGAATATTAGCACTTCCTTCGGCATCCTCTGCTGATAACCGACCTTTCCTTTCCATTCTGTCTAGCCTCTCCAAATCCCCAAGAATTCTCTTTTCCAAGAAACTTGCCTGGAGTTCAACTTTGTTTCACTGTTTGATTCTTGATTTAATATGACCTAACTTCTTTGCAATCCTGATGCTGGTATAACCCTCCACCCTGGCTCCCTGCAACCAAAATTTTATGTTGTCTCAGAACGCCAAAACCTTGAACCATTGATTCTAAACCTGATAAGGGCAGGACCCCATTTGATGTCATGTCCCTTCAAACAGATGGAAAATGGTCTGAAATAGCTCTTAGCAGCAGCTTTTATAGCATTCCAGACACCAGGGTTTGGAGGGAACTTGAAACAATGAAACAGTCGATCCTAGAGAAAATGTTCCTAAGGCTTGACCAAGTCCATCTTCCGCCTTACAATAGTAAATTCGTTAAACCTATCCATTCATATCATTAAACGCCTCCACACAAATCCTGAAGAAACTCTCCCAAGACCGTCCATAATTGTACCCAAGGAAGATCCCATCTATTTTTGCATTCTCCAAGATCCTTCGGCAGTACCTCCCTCTCTCTTCCTTCCCCTCTCCTATGTAACCCTGAAAGAATCCACCTTCCTCCATTCAGATTACTTATGTACACATAAGAAGTAGAACATTCCCCTTGAATCAATCTTATTATTTCCATTACAGAATCGTTCTACCTAACTACAATGCCTCTAGCCACCTGATAGCTGGGAAACTTCCTACATTCACTCTCCCTCCTTTTCAATACACTATGTGCAAGTTGGTTAGAGAATTCTGCCATTTTGGTTTCTTCTAAACATTCAACTCCCGACTTTCAAATAGTTAAACACTCTTTGATTGTTGATCTCTACTATGGATCATTCAAACCCCTCAAATTGGCAACTTGTCTCACTTAAAGACAATTAGCCTTTCAAGTGGTCAAATTCCTTGCACCGATCCAAAAAGAAAATCTTATGATGTTGTGTTATCTGGGAAGAACTGTGGGGGTCTAGAAGATTCACTTAAAGACAATCAGTTGCTAATATTTCACGAAAGCCACACGTAAAGGTTCATTTAGAAGCCATGTGCCCTGGATTGAAGTTTGCAACGGAGATTCTAGCAAGGGGGTGTGGGGAGGTATCACTTAGCATAACATTCATATGTTATCATGTATTTTTCGAACATTTATATTTATGTTCTGGATTTGCTCATTATGAGGTAAATTGATTTCAAGTAGTGATGGAACTATTTAATCATATTCAATGTTGAACTATTTCAT